AAAGGTATTTGGCTGAAGTCACTGAGACAGAAGAGGTTAAAATCAGTAGCTGGAAACAGAAAGAGCTATTAAGACATTCTGCAAGGGTTTTTACTATGAAAACATTCATGCCTGATTTGTATCTGGAATAGGGAAGTCATTTGTTTGGACTTCAAGGTAGGTTTCCTGTCTCAAATCAGCAAGTTATACCTGTCCAGAAACACTTAAGTCCATTCTTTCTTTGTCTCAGGTTTCAACACAGCATAATGTTTAAGCAAGTGATTGAAAGGTATCCCAAATAAAGATGGACTTTAGCAAGAGACTAAATGTGTTTTCTGATCAAGACCCTAAAGATATGCAGCAACTATATACCAGTGTTATATAAATCCTAAGAAAAGTGGAAATTAATTTTTATCATTACTTTCTACTCAATTTCCCACAGTGGATTTGGGAAGAAACATAATCCGTATTTATACTGAAGTATAGTGAAGCCTCTTGGCTTTGTATATTTTATGTCACTGAGTTATCATAAAATAGTTTCATAAAAAAGGTGTATGGTAGCATTAAATAATACTGAATTTGTCTTCCTAGTAGATATTGAGTCAACTGTATGTCATACGATCATGTATAAGCTTTTATTCATACATTTTTAATTCTCTTAATCAGAGCACCGAAATATCTGTAAATTGTTAATGCTGTCAAGGATGCACTTTTTCCAACTTAGTCAAAAGATTGATTTAATATGGCAGTCTTTCCCAATTCTAAAACATCTATTGAGAAAACTTCAGAATTGCTTTGGCTAGGCTAAGATATTTTCCTTCAAGTGTAAACATTCTTCTAAGACACTCATGATCAATATAAATGAATGTGGGTTTTTTAAGATATTAAAAAAATATCTTACCAAGTCTCCAAAAACATACTGGTTTTGCATGTCAGATGAATACATAATCTACAATAATGCTTCACTGCAACACAGATCACTATGCTTTTAAAATTGCAAAAATTGGGTAGTCTGTCTCGATGGATTTTCCTTCAGCAGAGGCCTTTTCCAAATCTCCTGAAGCTGCTAGAACTCATGAACCACTAAGGCACCTCTTAATCACATCTTTATCTCAAATGTCATGTTTACGCTCTGCTCCTAAACAGATGAGCTGTTAGGAAGTGAAAAGGCTGGTGCTATCTTGAAGAAAGCACAGCAACAACCTGGAAAACCAGGGAGTCTCAGCAGTGATAACAGAGCTGTTTGTGTACTGTGGGTTAGAAAGAAAAACATCAGAGCACAACAGCTTTTCGTAACTGCACACATGAGCAATTTAAGCAACTGGAGTTCACTATGGTATTTGAATAATTTGTTCTGAAACCCATTTCTTTAACGAAACATTTCATCTACCTGAATGATTATACTTGTTTGTTATTTTAATACTGTTCTTAAATTCGGAGCTCCTAGAGCTGATGTTTCTGATTAAAGAAGACTGACTGGAGTTCAGTTTGTTTTTTAAATCAGAACTACACTGACATTTAAAACAGAAAGAAAAAATGGTAAACCAGAATACTGACAATACAGTTTTCAACAGACCCCCTCCAAACAAACACAAATATCTGGATTATTCCTACGCTGCAAAAAAGGTGGGTTTTTTTATAGCTGTTATATAGTATAAGCCCTCACAGTGGAATGGGAGAGACAAGTGTTGAGAACTTTCATTCAAGCAAAGCTATGCATTCATCACAACTTTGGCTTTATGCTGATATGCAGCACTTGAATTTACTTCCAAATCCAGGATTGTCCACTTCTCTACAACAGGCTGGTCAAATTATTGCACTATGGCACACAGCTGACAACTTCTACATGGAACAGAAATACAATCCAGGAAGTTTCATGTGAAATAAGGTGAATTTCTGTATTTCTTTGTCATGTTATTAATCTAAATTATAATTGTTTTTACTGGAGAAGCTGTGGTTGTAACCTCCGACTGGGAGCTTCCAAGGACTGTCCTTGGCCTGTGATTGCTACCTCTGTTTTTATCACCCTGAAGATTGACAGGCCTCCTGTTTAGAAGAACAAAAAATAAATTACCAGTTGAACGTTTCAAGGAAAAGTGTCTTGAAAATTGCCAATGCCACCTTTTTCCATTGTGGAAAACTAATTTTAAACTCAATTTCCGAAATAATTGTGCCAGTTGTTGTGGATTGGTTTTAACTGGACTTGTCCACTTACCTTCTCTAAAAAGCATTCTCAGGAAATTTCAGCGTCAGAAATGTCAGTACCAAGCTGAAAAAATTGACTGTACTTTGGAGAAATGGTTTGCTGTACCATATGCTTAGAATAATTCCCCAATCCTATTTAAAATTTAGTTTTTTAGCAGTGAATAATATAAACAGTCTGATGAAGGTTTAAAAAACATGAACTCATACCTGGTATGGCAAAAAAAATGGACAATGTGTAAAATCTTCAGGGAAAGAAGCAAGACTCTGATTCCTGTGGCTCACTGATGATTGATCTTTGATTTGCACCACGATAAGAATTACACACGGAATTTATTATGACATAGATCTGCTTAGTTTTTGTTTCAGATACATAGGAAAACAGTTCATTTCTGAATTTCAGTACAAAGAACTATTTTCCTAAATAGTTGTTCTTTGATTTTGGAAAGGTGTTAAAAACTGACTCAAACTTAGCTGCTATAGAGGAGAGATGAGCAACTTTAGCAATGGGCTCAGATGTAGATGCAGTGCGAGGAGTCTGGAAAAGGGGGGAAGGGACTGTGCAGCTCACTCACATGATCCCAGTGCTTAAGCATTGCAGTAAATACTGGTGATGGCACAGTGAGAGATGGTCTTTCACTTTCCTATGGCAAATCCCTGTTTTAGCAACTGTAGGCAAAAGGGTCAAATATTTAACTTGGTATTAAACTTAGCAAAATAAACTCCATTTCTTGCTCGCACAAAATAGTCATGTCCGTATACCATCCTATCTGTCTGAAAGGTCAGGTATGGCTTAGCAAAGTTTGAAATGGTTGTGCTGGAAAAGCTGAAGAGCAGTGTGCTTGAGCAGATGACTGGGCAGACCACGAATAGTCTACACATGGGTTGCAAAAGCGAAAGGTTTGATTAATGCACCTGAACACTTACAGAGGAGCAAACCCTGGTACAGCTCTCTGTGACCTCATGTTTCTATTGCATCTTCTTTCTATATGCCCCATTACCCATTATTGTAAGGCACTTCTGGCTGGGTTTGGGGAAATACTATTTTATTTACAGTGACAAACAAATTTCAGTGATTTTCAGCCCCGTATAACTTTGACTCAAGACAGACTGAGTAGTAAACTCATTTACGAAACAAAGATTTACTTGGACGTCCCATTAAAATCAAGGATGGCTGTCTTTCTATCATAGGAGGACTTCGATTCCTCTTTTCAGGTCGGCAGGTTGGGACTCACGAGGAGGCCGGCAAGGCTGTGGATCATGGCCTCGCCAGCCCCACGGGTTGGTAAGGGACTCCTTCTGCAGGTGTTGCTGTGAGGTGAGCAGGGAAGAGGGATTCACGGGACAGCTTGCGGGCCCTGCTCATCTGGCGGCATTTGGGAGATTAGTGCGAGCTATACCTGAGGGGGATGGTGGAAATCACATACTCCGTCTAAAGCATGAAGGAATTTAGAGGAAGAGCTGCTGTTTCTGACAGAAAGTGTCTGGCAATTCCCTCCGAACAACTGTTTCCGATATAAGGTGGGGGGTTTATTGTTGTTTTATTTAATTTTTTTTCATAAATACTGATTTTCTTAGTTTTTCTTCCCCTTGCAGATGCTGCGCTTCCTCCCTCTCAGCTCTTGCAGACCCCGCAGGCTCCCTTTCCCAGGCGGGCAGCCCACCAACCCACCCCCGCCACCGCCGCCCACGGAAGCGGTGACCGCAGCCGGTGTTGCGAGGCGGGGCCGAGGCGGGGCTGAGGTGGGGGGCGGGTGGCGGCGCATCCCGGTGCCTCGGTGTCCCGGGAGCGGTGAGGGGGCGGCCCCACCCTGAGGGCGGTGCCGGTGGAGGCCCCGCCCCCTCATCCCTCGCCCCGCCCCGGCGCCCATTGGCGCGCGCCGCACCTCCGTTAGCGCTCGCGGGCCGGGTCTCGCGATGCTGTGGCCGCCGCCGCCATATTGTGTCTCTATTTTGATTCGGAGCGCAGCGAGCGCGGGGGGAGGGGGCCGGGAGCGGCGCGCGGCCCCAGCGGCGGCTCTGGAGGAGCGGGAGCGGCGCCGCCACAGCCACTGCACACACACCCACGCACGCGCACGCACACACACGCACCCGCACACCGGCCCGCCCCGCCGCCCGCGCGGCAGCACGGACCCCCCTGCCCTCCTTTCTCCCTCCTCTTCCTCCTCCTCGCCCCCTCCTCACCCCCCCGAGCGGAACGGCGGCGGCGGCGGGAGGCTGCGGAGCGGGCCGGGTCGGCGGGGTCCCCCCTGCCGGGCGGAGGCGGCGGCGCTGGTGGCGGTAGCAGCGGCGGTAGTGGCGGCGGCTGCCGCCGTGGTGGTGGGGGAGGCGGCGGAGGAGGAGGAGGCGGAGGAGGAGGAGGAGGAGAAGCGGCAGCGGCAGCGGGGTAAGGCTAACCCCGCCGGACGGGCCCGGCGGCGGCTTCCTGGGCTGGTTTTGTGGTCCCATTCCCGGGGGGCTGCGGGGAGAGGCGCGGGGGCGGGGGGCCCGGCTCTCCCGCTGCCGCCCCGCGCTGTGCCAGGGTGAAGAAGGCAGGAAAGGCCTGCGCGCGGGGAGGGAGCAGCCCCGGCACCCCGCTCATCCCGGCGTGCTGGGGCGGGGTGGGAGAGCAGCGAAGGCACGGGAAGCCGCCGCGCAGCGGGACATCCAGCGAGAGATGGAAACTTATTTTCCTTCGCGAGCCGCTGGAGCTTCCCGGCGCGGGGAGGGATCGGACGGCTGCGGCGGCCCGTGGAGGGGCGGGAGCTGCCAGCGGGCTCGCCTGGCTGCGGAAGGGAGGGAGGGAGGGCTGGCCCGGCGCTTGGCAGGTGACAGGTGTGAGTGCGCTGGGCGACACTCCGCCATTTGAGGATGAGTATCCGAGCGTCCGAGGTGCGATTCTTTGGTGCCCGGTGTCTTTGTGGGGGCTAACTGGGCTCGATTCCATATATAGTATATTTAGGACGTCGGTTTCCATTGTTCCAGTCAGTTTAATTGTTGAGTAGAAATTCTTGAAATGGTTCTGATAAGAGAGGTTTTGAAGAGAGGAGACATGTACTGTTTCTTGTTTTCTTCTCTTTTTCTGTTGTGTCCCTCTGAGAGACCTGGGAAGACTGTGCGGAGGTGTGTAGTGCTTTGTCTCATTCATTGAAAGGCTTATACTAAAAACTCTGAATGCTCAGCCCAGATGAAGCAAGGCCTTCAGGGCAGAAGCCTTGTGTTCTTTGTAATATACCTGGTCTCTCAGCAGGGCCTGGTTTGTGTCCAGGACCTATTGGTGTCCCTGTATTAATGATAGTAAATGCATACATAAAAAAGGAATTCCAGAGGAATGCTTCTTAGCAAGGAGTGGGTTTCAAATGTGGTTTTCTAGTCATTATAAGTTTAGGGTATTTGATATAGACTGACTAAAGCAGTTTCTGACGTTCAGCAGTAGAATGCTGAAAATGGTGCTGCATATAATTTTCAGTACTCTAATGTGTGTCTTCTGAATATCAGCAGAAGTCAGATAAAGTCATTCATTATCTTAGACTGTTCAGATTGGTTTGTATAATAATTTAGGCACCGAAATGGTACGGCACATATAAGGAAGGCTAATGACACTAATAGCAATAGCATTATATTCATGATTGACCATGTTTTTTTTGAAATTGGGAATAATTTTCAGCTTGGGTGCTGATTTGCCAGATAACCAGGCATTTGCATTTCATACACATAATTCAATTATTTGTTCTTTATCTATTCTGTTGTAATTGGGTTTTGTCAAACCCCAGAATTCTGATACCTGCTATTGGCAAGAGGGAAGTTCCACTGACACATTAGGAGACACATGTCATCAGCTTCAGTACGTTCTGCTCTCCAATTTAAATGAAAGCTTCAGTCATCTGAGATTGTTATCCATATGTTAAACTTAGGGATGCTCAGCTGTAGATAGTACCTTGGCTTGCGCTGCAGCAGAACGGACACTGAGTTGAGTCTCAGTTTCTTTTAAAAACTGGGAACATCTGTGTGGTTTTTCTGATGTTGCTTCACAGGAGAGGCTGGAAGGGGGAAGGAATTGGAGGAGAACTCAATCTGTGTCATTCCAATTTTGTGTTTGAGATGCTTGATAAAGCATCATCCATGTTTCATTACATGTGGGGGCAGTGCCATCTTGCTATGCTACATTACCCTTGCTTATACCAGCTTTCCAAGACTGTGAAATGTAAACCATTTTCCTTCTCAACATAAGAGAAGTCATAGGGTTCTGCTCTCTTCCTTTATATTTGCTGATACAATAATAGAATTCTTGAAAATGGGCACTCTTCCTATGACAGTGGCCTGGTAGAAACTTCTCTTTTCCAGCAGTGACAGAATGGAAGAAAATAGTGGTTTTCCTCACTTGCTTTGAATGCTGAGGTCTTATGTTGTTTTGTGATGGTCTTTGGCTTTATAGGTAACTGGTATGTTTTCAAACCATGTAGAATTAAACCTGTCATCTGTTGAAGAGATTATTCTCAGCAAACTTATATGTATGGTTTGGGTTTTTTTGCTTGGCAGTTTAAAGAGCTCTTGGCAGACTATTTCTTTGTGAGAATGTGCTTTGAAACATAAAACTAAGTTACTCTTCATCCTATTACCAAGTGCAGCCTCCTTATCATGATCTTCATGGCTGGAAGCACTGGAAGAATAAAGGTTGGTCAGATGTGACCTTAAGTTTATGAAATGACTGTAAATTTAGGACTGCAGGATCAGGCTGATCTTTTCTGAACTGCTGCAAGCGGAATGCTGAATGATGTTGCTGTTGGTCTTTTTACAGGAAATAGAACAAAAATTCCAATGATTCAGAACTGGATTTTTTTAAAGCTATACCCAAAACTCAAATATTTAAATGTTTGAAGTGAAAGTTAACTTTTGTTACCACGAATGTATGCAGCGATTCAAGTTGTTTTGGTTTTTTTTTTTAATTTTAATTCCATTGTAGGTTATTGCAGCTGGGCAAGTGAAGGCTTTCTGTTTCAAACAGGAGAAATGCTGGTGGATGCTCTAAGACATCTTGAACCCTGCTTAGCAAACTAGTCTGGTTTGGATTCCACATATTTAAATGCAACTATGAAAGCATGAAAGCTGTCAGATTTACAATAGAATAATATTTTTTTACAAACTCTTAATTGTAGTCAGGGGTTTCAGTATAATAGTTGTTTCAGTTTCACCCTCTTTTGAGAATGCTTACAAAAAAATCACTGACATAGTATTGATGCTTTCCCTGACAGAGGTTTTTGTAGGCCTTTATTGTAATTATACTAAAATTAGGGATTTATTCGTATTGAACTGATGAGTAGGCTCAACTCTCATTCAAGGAAGTATTCCAAACACTATACAGATGTTTACTGAGTTTTCTAGTTTTGTCTTATGCTGCCTTTGGATTTTGGAGTTCCTTAATTGGTTGTAATCAGGTTCAAGTGAAACCAAGTGAAATAGCTTGACATCTCTGATGTTTGTGTATAATATCCTGATATTCTTGGAACATATCTGTTGCTGAATGAATGGCATCACTCAGGATGTTCTTGTTGCCATAGGTGCAGTTAAGGTGTCATTAAATAGTTAATATTTTTAGAATGTGTTAGATTTTTTTTGTTGTTGATGATTGCAAGAAGTTAAGCATAGCTTGGTATGTGCTAAACAAATTGTAAGGTAATATTGAGTCAGAGAATTTAACCAGAAAAAGACTCTTTTGTGTAAAATATGCATTATATTCTTAGAAAATAGCTATGTGTAATCAATTTTTGTAGCAATATGGAAATTGTGTAGCTCTTTCCTATTCTGAGCACAGATTAAGATCAGATTTCACTGTCTTTGATGTTGAGTGATTTAAAACTCATTCAGATCCTGGCTGTACTATGAGCAGAATTTAATTTTTCCGTTATTTTAAAAATCTGTGTCTCAGAATGGATGTAAACCTTGTGCTCCCTTTGGCATTTAGAAGAGCATTTTCCAGTGGTAAAAGAAAATTGTAGGTTGTATATAGGAATTTTTAAAAAATAAAAAAGTCACCCAAGCAACCAGAACTGTGCACCTATTAGTCAGGATATTGTTAGGCTTGCTAGAATTTACCAAAAACAGGACAAAGCTACTATATATGCTCACTACTTAGACTGTCTTAAGCTAGATGAACGCTTTAATGCAAAGTGTCTTAAGCTGTTCCAAAATTAATCAAAGCTGGTGCCATGCGGTGCTGACTGGCTGGTCTGCTGGGGCTGCCAGTGGAGAAGGCAGAATTCCACCTGCCTTTCTCCTCATCAAAAGCATGAATTCGAGTTTTCCTTTGATCCTGTATCTCAATAAATTTTGAGCTCATCCACTAATTTTCAGCAAAGAAATTAGCCAAGGGGCAAGGTCTCAAAGATTTTACATTTTAATAACGTTGAACAAAAGTTAAATTTGTTAAAGTTGATGACTTCATTAAGATCATCTCTTTAGGGGAAAGTTTTGCATGAATTTAGGAGCTACCTGTGTTTAGCCGCCAGTTGGCCCGCAGACAGTTGTCTGTGGGGTAAGAACTAGGTGTGAAGTGCAGTACTCTTTTCTTCAGTCAGTAGTTAGAGGACATGAGAGGTTAAGTATATTATGGCTAATGCTTGAAAGAGTGGTAAGATAATAGGCATCTGGGATAGAGGTGGAATGTGACTAATTGGAACATGAAAGCATGTCTGAGAGAGAGTGCAAATCTATGGGAAAGGGGGCTTTGCTAGTTTTGCTATTTATGGGGTGATACCTTTGAGAGGAAGGTAAGCAGTGGCTGCCAGTTTTGGTTTAGTAAACAAAAATCATGTTAAAATAGGTTCTTAAGAAGATGAAGACAAAGAAAAATAGGGTGGGGGACAATATGTAAGGTCCAAAGCAGACTGCTGGGCTGCTAAGGTTGTCTTATAACAGTGGTACACTTTTGATTACAATGTAGCAACTGTTGTTGTGAGTGGCTTTGAGATGTTTGGTGACGGTGTTGGTTCCATGTGTACAGAGCCTCTTGAGCTGTGCCTGTATGTGTGTTTGTGTGGATCTGATTCAACAGGATTGCCTAGACTGACACAGGGCATGAAGCAGCACGGGGCAAGAATGTGCAAACTGCATAAGATATATGTGTTGTTCTCAAAATATGCTGTCAAAAGCATTATTTTGTTACATCGTATATAGTTGTAGTTTCTTTAGACAGTGTGACTTACATGTTTGTTGCATGCTTACAGTATAATGCTGTCATGTCTCTGTGGGCTGTCACATGCAATGGCATATTTAATGTACTCACAGGTCTAACTGATTTATCTGTGAAGATGGGCCATGCTAGTATCAGATTGTTTAGTAAGCCTGAAATTACTTGCTTTTTAATATGGATTTATTATGGACTAAATATTTCATGGAGTTTTTTGAGTCTTGAAATAAGTATTTACCTGGTCCATCTCTATTTTGTATGGAACGCTAGTAGAAATGGATAAGAAATCCCTGGCAGACAGGAAATACTCTAATACCTTTTATTTGCTGCAGCCTGTCTTTATTGTTCAAGAATCTTGCTGTTATCAGGTATTTTCATAGATGACTTGTAGAAAGATCAAGCATAAATATGTCAAAACTAGGGCTTTAGAATGTATTTTTCAAATGAAATTGCATTGTGTGTAAAAATCTCTTTGGTCGGTCCATCTGTTTATCACTGTTCTCAGGATGTCTTTTTCAACAGGGTAAAGTGACTAAAAAAATACAGTAAGTTTCAGAAATTAACTACCCCCCAGTACTTTTTACTGATCCAGTGCCTCAGAAGCTGTGACTAACATGTAGGTTCAGATAAGTAATTTGTTTTCCTGGAGCCGTTTGGGGTTTGGAAATCTATTTCTACTTTATACTGAAGGCTAGAAATGCAGAAGAGTCTTTTGCTGTTTAAGTCCAAAGCCTGATTTCCCCAGGTGGAAAAAATGAACTGTTTCACCTACATAGGGGGGAAAAAAGACACACGGTTAAACAAAAGTTGTACAGTGTGGCCTGTAATTAAATCCTTTGTCAGTTCATGTTGCATTTAAACTCTTAAGAAAAGCCTCTACTCCCTGTGTCTGTGCTATGTTTCTCTGTTTTAAGTACTCTCGTGTCTTTTTACAGTG